CACACACACACACACACACGTACGTATTTATGTATATTTATTTATTTATTTATACTACCTTTCAGAAGTTTGGGGTCTGTAAGTTTTTTTTATTGTTTTTTAAAAAAGTCTCTTATGCTGCATCCGAAGCTGCATTTATTTGATCAGAAATACAGTAAAAACATTAATATTGTGAAATATTATTGCAATTTAAAATAACTTTTCTACTTGAACATCATTTAAATGTAACTTATTCCTGTGATGGCAAAGCTGAATTTTCAGCAGTCTCCAGTCTTCAGTGTCACATGATCCTTCAGAAATCCTCAGAATATGTTGATTTGCTGCTCAAGAAACATTTATTTTTATTCTCAGTGTTGAAAACAGCTGTGCTGCGTTTTTTTCAGGACGATTTCATGAATAGAAAGTTCAAACGAACAGCATTTATTTGAAACAGAATTTTATGTAAAACTTACTAAATAAAAGCATTAATTTGTTTCAAAAGAAATCTTACTGACCCCAAACTTTAGAAAGGTAGTGTATATTTCTATAAACATAAAACAATTTAAACTGATATATGTGTCCTTTTAATTAATTTGTTTTAAAAGTAGCCAAGTAATAAGTGGGAAAATGTAGTCAGCTGGTCATTCTCATAAAATAAAGGATTTAGGATGATGTAAGAAAATGATGTAAGAATATAAGAAAATGTCCAATTTGCATGTGCTGTGAAACTTGCATGGTAGATATTCTTCAAAGAATACCATGGTATTACTAGCCCTCAAATGAATAAAAGGAAAAAAAATGATCTTATATGTAAGTATATGAACAATGATCACTGATATGATTTCTTATGCAATTCCCTTCAGGCATGGCTCTGCTAGACTGAATAATTTCAAGTTAGTTTCAAAATGAGTTCATTAGTTTCAAAATGCAAACCAATATTGCATATATTTTGTGAGAAAAGTGGGATTGTGTACAGTTAACTATCATAAAAATCTCCAACAAAGTTGGCAGTGCTGTCACAAATCTTTGATATTTTCCCTTACATTGGTAAAAAGTCACTAAATGCGTAGTCCTCTATTTCTATGAGTTCAAACTCTTGCTGAGCGCCGTTTCATCTCACTCCTCACCCTGCGACCCACAGACGAGCCATTAGTGTGTGTTTGTGTTTGTGGGGTTGCCATGGGGACAGCTGGGTGTGGGAAGCTAGAGCAAATATGGAGAGGCCTGGATGGTGACTCCGACCGACTCACAAGGAGACAATAGAGGCTCCCGTCGGAGCTAATGAGGACACATGTAACGGGATTACAGCTCTGGACACTGATGGTGAAGGTTGGGGAGGGGGGAGACCACATTGGTAGCTACTGCACTTCTACACACCTCCCCTCATCTCTCCCTCCTGCCGTACCCTGAGAACATCCCACTCAATCACATCCCACTGACACACTCAACCACAGCAGGCCTATTCAGAGCCTCCAGGAGCACTCCAACCTGAACGGGCCTTTCCCACATCCCACTCCACGCAAACCTCTGCTGCTTCTTTTCAAATCACAGTCACCGTTCACACGCAGGTTTCTCTCATTTTTTTAAAAGTGGATAGTCAAAACTTGTGAATATGGAAAAAGGCAAGCATCACTAGGGTTAGGGATTTGAACAAGACAGAAAATACCAAAAATGGGACATTTTGCCTGGTACAGTGTATAGTATACAGTGTATTGAAGTATGATAGATAAATATAGTTATTGGTCCGGATCTACTACTTTACTTAAAACTACATTTAAAAATGTAATTCTTACGTACAGAGACTTGAATACACCTCTTCCGTGATATGTTTTCCATTTCTGAATTACATTAAGTAAAAATATCAGTTACTGATCAAGTTTAGGGTTGGTGAGATTTTTTGAAAAAAGCCTCTAATGCTCACCAAGGTGCATTTATCTAATGAAAGATACAGTAATATTGTGAAATATTATTACAATTGAACTGTTTTCTATTTTAATATATTTTAAAGTGTAATACATTCCTGTGATGGCAATGCTACATTTTCAGCATCATTCAGTGTCACATGATCCTTCGGAAATCGTTCGAATATGTGACCCTGGACCACAAAACCAGTCATAAGGGTCAATTTCACGAAATTGAGATGTATACATCATCTGAAAGCTGAATAAATAAGCTTTCCATTGATGTATGGTTTGTTAGGATAGAACAATATTTGACCGAGATACAACTTTTTGAAAATCTGGAATCTGAGGGTGCAAAAAAATCTAAATATTGAGAAAATCGCCTTTAAAGTTGTCCAAATGAAGTTCTTAGCAATGCATATTACCAATCAAAAATGAGGTTTTGATATTGACAATTTCAAAATATCTTCATGGAACATGATCTTTACTTAATATCCTAATGATTTTTGGCATAAAAGACAAATCGATAATTTTGACCCATACAATGTATTTTTGGCTATTGCTACAAATATACCCCAGCGACTTAAGACTGGTTTTGTGATCCAGGGTCACATATGCTGATTTGGTACTCAAGAAACATTTCTTATTATTATCAATGTTTAAAACAGTTGTGCTGCTTCATGTTTTTATAATGTAATATAATATAAAATAATTTTAGAAGTATTAAGAAGTATTTATTTGAAATAGATATCTTTTGAAACATAAATTCCTCTAAATCACTTTTGAATGATTTAATAGGCTACATCCTCGCTGAATAAAGTATTAATTTATTTCAAAAAAAATCTTACTGGCCCAACGAATGGTAGCGTATATGCAGATATCATAATGTAGAAAAATGTTTCATTAAAAGGTTGAAATTCATGAAAAGAAAACCTTTCTGACTAGTTTGGCATAATATTTGATCATTATAAAAAAAAAAAAACACAAGGAAGCAATTTTGTTGAAATATTCCAAACATTTGAAAAACATTTGCCAGCCAAATTAAAGTCAAGTGGTGCGACCAACATGCATAAACATAGGAATCATTTTAAATTTTGGTTAAAAATTGCGTATTTGATTTTTTATTATTCTGTGGTGTTCTCCATTTAAAATGTTCACAACCACAAAAAACTTTAAGAGTATATTTCTACGAACTTGGCATGTAGAATTTATTTTTTTTAATCATGGACTCTCTTATTTGTTATTGACTTATTCCCATCTGATACTATCACTGTACCATGGTACTGTCACGGTATATTTGGTATGGGAGAACCCTTCTAAGTGTGTGTACTTAAGATTTTCACCTGACAAAGTATTTTTTGGAGGGTGGGGGTGGAAATCATAGAAACTTAGGCTTGAGCTAGTAAGTAACCTCTCAGAACACCCTAACAGCCGCAGTAAGAAACCATTTAGAACACCTTAGCAACCACTCAGCAACGTCCTAGCAACCATCCACAACACCATAGTATTGTGCCATTGACTTTTGCACTTGCCAGCACCGCTTCCATTTTTTTTCTCCAGAAAATGTAAATATCTAGTTGACATTTATGATTGAGTAGGAGGTCCAGGCTAAGCTGCGAGGCAGTCCTTCCTCTCCTTTTTCTCCCGCAGCCAAATTCCTACACTCCTTCCAAGACACCCAGTCAATTAATAAGACATCGTCTCCTCCCCTTTGCAGCCCCCTGCACAAGAGGCCACCCAGGAGCGAGCAGCCCCGTCTCTAAAGCAGCTTCTCTGGTGGCCCAGTGGAATGCCGGGCAAACAGGAGGGAAGGGCCCGGACCGAGCTGGAGAAGAAAAGAAAAAGTCCCATCATTGCTCGCCAGGGCAGCCTGGTCAAAATTTGGAGGAGACAATAGGAGATGTAGGTCCCGTGCAGAATTCCTGTATTTGCCACCAGTGACTCTTCAACACCTCCCACTTTAGACCCCAAGCCCTTCCTGCTTTCTGTCCTGTTCATTGCGTTTTGGAGCTTGTAACTCAGATACAGCCATCTGTGCTCAAATCAACACTTCAAATGATGGATCTCTGCTTCTCTGCTTTGAATCTAGTAAATTTAGTGAAATCTATTTGGTTATATAATGATCTTGACTTTTTGTTCACGAGTTACTTGCTGTAAGAAAGACTCCTAATGGCAGGTTCTGATGCTTTGACATATATTTTGATGTACATTATGACAACCATTAATATACACTCTGTCATGGCTTAATGAAAGTTTATCATAACATGTTCAAGTCCCCCAAAAGTCAGACTATCTCTGCCTCAAAACTTTTCCTGCTCAGACATGCAAGAAATATGATGATAATAATAAAATTCATAAATGGCAAAAACATTTAATTTCACTTTTTCTGACAAATGTAATTATTATTACTATTATTATTGTGGTGGTGTCTTTTGAAAGATACAATCTTAAAAAAAAAAAGCCATTAAAAAAAGAAAGCCATAAAATTAGCCCGATTGTCATTTTGTAAAAATAAATCAAACATTACAATCAAAGGCTTAATATATTCATGGACTTCAAACTGAGGTCTGTAAGATTTTTTTTCTTTCTTTTTTTAATAAATGAAGAATATATGGATAAAACATTATTGTAGCCACTGAGAACATAATATAAGCTAAAAACAGAAAGTTGTTTTGTTCTTACCAAAACAGCAGAATAAATGCACACAACACACGAGCATTTTTGTGAATTTAGAGGGTTTATTCCATTTGTGACTATTTAAATTATATTACTCTTGTTCAATAAGATATGTATTCAAAACTTCAAAGCCCTTATTTTTTTTAATTAACACCTCAAACATATTTTGAATTACAAAACAAATGGGGAAACAGCTGCTAACAAGACCAGAGTTGATTCAACTCATCTGAGACTAAAACACTCATGCAAGACACTCCAATTCGCATTTGTATCAACACAATGGACTGATATTTCAAAAGAATATAATCCTGAAAACAAGGACACGCCAACCGGGTTCAGTGTCATACTGTGTGGTGAAGTATATGGCTTAGCACTTACAAAATACATACATAGCATTCAAACGCACTATAAATAGGACTTTATTTTGGTGCTTTTAACCGTTATAGTTTAATAATAATTCAATTTAAATAAATTAATACGAGGAAAAACTCTAGCCCAGCTAGATATTTTTTTATGATAAGATATTCAGGTCTTCATGTAATGGCTAAATATTAAACATCTAGTGCACAGCAAAGACTAATACAGAGTCTAGAGACAGGAAAGCTCTTATATACATCCCATAATCAAGTTTCACTAGTTGAAATGACCATCAACACAAACATAAAACTGTGTAAACAGCGGCCCTTGGTGGCAGCGTTTGGTTTCACACTAGGAGGAAGAGAGCCTGTGAAAGTTCACAAATCCCTTTAAATCCATTTACTCAAAATTCCCTTTGCAATTTAATGCAACTTGTGCTGGGCCAACTGCACAACAAAATGCAAAAATAGATATTTCAAAACTAAGCGGCTTTGCGAAACATTTCAATTTTAGATGTTTTTAGATCATCACAATCAACATCTGAATTTGCTGAAACACCACACATATATTGGCAGTTAAACTATCAAATCCCCTAAGCCCATGAACAGTAGAAGCGGTAATATGACATACATTTTGCATTACGCTTTTTTGGTGGCTTTGTGGAAAGTGCCACGAAGGTCCATTTCTATGGCAGACGGGGGAAAAAATATCTAATGAAATCTAGCACATCAATTAGGCTAGTAATCTATGCTTCTTAATATGACTCTTATAACATACAGAATTACATTTATAAATGTGTTTCACAGCAGGTAATGCTGGAAAACGGAAGCACATGGACAAGAGCCTAACCAAATCAACAGATTTTTTACGACTTCACAACAAAGAAAGTTAAAGCTTGGTGTTTGTTGAAATTTTACATTAAGTGTCACTGCTACAAATAATGACTTTGGTCAAATAAAACAGATATGTCATTTATTCATTTGTAAACCCGCCTTTCTATAGATTCAGACTGAGCAGAGACTGTGGCATTCAAGGCATCGCATGCACAGGTGCTTTCGGAAAGGAAACAGGACAGTGGTCAGAGAGGGAGACACTTGCATCAAAACAATGTACAGAGTCTGTTTTCATGTTACGGATTCCATTTAAAACTGTCAAAAGTTTGTTTTACAGCACTGTATAAATATTCAATGCAACTTCAAGGTTTTAGAATAAAAGCTTTGTGTCAGGGACAACAAACTTCACAAAATGATTGTTTGTCCAGTCACATTAGCCAAAAGTGGAATTACAGGCATACAGCCAATAAGGATAAAAAAATTAACTTAAATGATTTTAGCAAATGGCTGCAATATAACAAAGAGTGAAAAATTTAAGGGGGTCTGAATACTTTCCGTACCCACTGTATATTCAAGTTTGGGGTTAGTGACATTTTTATGTGAAATATGTTACATATTCTGATTTGCTGCTCAAGAAACATTTACTATTATTATCAGTGTTGAGAAAACTGTGATATATATATATATCTTACGGACCTTAAATGGTAGTGTATGTTGACCAGTAAAAAGTTGTAGTTGGGCAGCTGGAATGATATTTCTAGCACTGATATTGGTGCTCTGCAGTGTGATGTGCTACACATAATCTAAAACTATTTTAAACAACATTGTTTCTTAAAAATCATAATTGCATGCTGGTTTAAACTTATTGAGAGAATTGTGTCATTTTTAAATATTAATTTGCAGTACAACTGAAGTGAACAGGAAAAAAAAATCTAAAATTTGATATAATATATAATATATAATACAGTGGTTCTCAAGATTTTTGACTCCAAGACCCCCAAATATCCACAACAACTTAAGGCCCCATGACCTTTCCAGATGTTCATGATTGATCAAGGAAAATATTTTTTTTATATATATATTTACTACATTTTTATCTGATAAAATTATTTGAAATTTATACCCAAGGAGTTATAAAATTGTATTTACATTCATTTTCCACATCTAGAATCTACACTTTAAAATTAGGATTCCTAATATGCATGTTTTTGAAGACAGTGAAGACAGATATATATTTTTTCATTTTGGTTTATTTTAATGCTTGGTTTGTCTTGTTATAAATAATTTGTCTTGTTTTAATATTAAGCCATCTTGAGGCCCAGTTGGAATTCTTCTGAGGCCGCCTGATTGAGAACCACTGATATACATACACAAATTACATTTGAACCTAAAATCTTGATGCTGAAAAAAACAAAAGTGTTATTTGTCAACTACCCCTAGCCACTTTTTTAGTCAATGCAAAAATTACAGGCTGCTTGCCTTTTTTAAGTGTCAAATGACAGTTTTGAACTTTCAAAGTTTGACTTTAACATCTAAAGCATAGCCACCTTTAAAACAAGGCAATTCTACTAAAGATATCGTGAAACAGAAAGGGAACAAGTTTCCATGCAATTAAACAAATCCATTTACAGTACGTTCCAAAATTAAAGGGATAGTTCACTCAAAAATCTAAATTCTGCCATCATGTACTCACCCTCCACTTGTTCCAAACCTGTATGCGTTTATTTCTTCTGTTGAACACAAAAGAAGATGTTTTGAAGAATGTTTTTAACCAAACAGTTGACGGCGGTAGCCATTGACTTTCATAGTAACTTTTTTCCATACTGTGGAAGTCAATGGCTACCATCAACTGCTTGGTTCCCAACATTCTTCAAAATATCTTCTTTTACGCTCAATAAAATAAAGATAACTTGAGGTTTGGAACAACTTTAGGGTGAGTAAATGACAGACTTAATGGGTGAACTATCCCTTTAACTCTCCAACTTCAAATCCACAACCCCTTTAAAAACAAGGTGGTTCCACAAGCAGATGAGCCACCCACACCCGGCGCTATCACAGATACATGCGCACGGGGCCCCTCGGTTACATTTCACAAGCAGACAACACGATTTACAAGCACTAAAATAGGGCAACAAAAACGGAGTGCACAGATCAAAGGAGAGCGTTCAGTTTAAGGGCCGATGCTCACTACGCTTCTATAAACGCTAAAACGTGAAAACCCATGTCTGGCCCTTAATCTCTTAACAGCTAAAACAAGAGGAAAAACCCCTAAAAACATATCAAACCATAAAATAAGCTCCATGTTTGTGCGATTAGACGCAGGGAGCCAGTGGGACAAAAAGCAGCGAGGCAAACCATCTAATAAAGCCTCACTCCCAGAGGAGAGTTCAATGTAGGACTCTCTCTGCCTCCCCTCATTCCCGTTCTATTAATACACCCAAACAAAAGGAGCCAGTAATGAGGGAGCTTCAGGGAGAACAGTGATGGGGAAGAGGCCGAACGCAGCAGCTTTCAGCCACATGAAAGTGAGCCGAGCTCCTGCGGTTCTTATTGCTCTTGTCCTTTGCCCGGGTTCGAGTGGGCAGGAGCACCAGTTTATGTGTGTTTGAGTGTGTGCGTTCCAGCATGCATACCCGCCGCTGGGTCCCAATCCAGCCCTCGCCATTTAAAAGTTCAATGATGGGATGTCTCGTCTCGGTTAGTGCCCAGGAAGTGGAATGCATGATTTACTTAGAGACCAGAACCTTGCGTCTGTCCCTAAAAATGGCAGTTACGTTTGCCCTGATGAGGCACTGCTTATACTCACTATTTTCTAATGCATAAAGATCTTTCAGGATACGAACAGAAACATAAGAATGAAGAAAATAACTTTTGCATAGCAATGTAGAGTTCAAGTGCCTTTCAAATAGTTTTGTAGTGCTTGCAAGATATGAATGACACCATGTCAAACATCATAGCAAAATGCTTTGAATAATACAGATTGGTCGTTTAGGCCAAAGAGAAAATCATTCCTTTCAACTGTAAAAATGCCTCCACCAGCTAGAAAACACAAACACCGAGAACCACATATTCAGCCCAGCAGTGTTGTACACTCTTAAAATTAAAGGTTCTTTATTGGCATCAATGGTTCATTGAGGAACCTTTAACAACCATGGAACCTTTGCATTCTAAAATTCTTTATAGAGGAAAAAGGCTCTTCAGACTTGTTATTTTAGCAACTGTTCACTGAAAGGTTCTTTGGATAATCCAAAATGGTTCGTCTATGGCATTGCTGCCATAGAATGAAAAAAAAAAAAAAAAATTTTGGAATCCTTTTTATTTTCAAGAGTGTAGTACTCAAGTCCAGACAAGACTGGATTTGGACTCAAGAGTCCAGGCTGAGTCCAAATGCTCCTGAAAATATGGTAGACTCCGACTTGAGTTCTGCAACGCTGCACCTTAGTGTCACAAAACCACCAAGGCTTGTGAAACAGATAATGCTGAGAAGAAAATATGCAAGCACATCGTTTTTAACACCACAGACTCTGCCGCAGCACGTCTTAAAGCATAATTCATCTAACACAGGGCCAAAAACACAACATGCCACCATCAAACAGGAAACCACAGATGTCTTTTAGCTGGCGTATCACTTCATTTCAGGCTAAAATGCGGCCCTGCAGTCATGGTTATCTTCTGTAAGATAAGCGTGTCATTAGGCTTTGCAGACGCTTAAAGTCAGCATGAATCAAAACCCAATTTCTTCCTCTCATATGAGGCATTCTTGGATGCAGATTGGATCATTAAAAAAAGTAGGCAGCATTACATTGAATGTGAGCCAGATTGAATGCGAGTTTGCTAAAACTATGGCAAAAGAGCCATTTAGCTACAGGGTAGCGTTATCCAATAGCCCGAGAGGCCTTTGGTGTGTGCCAAGTTTACAAAATAATCTGGTGCATTCAAAATTTAAAAATTAGTCAAATTTGATTGCATGTTGAGTTTAAGCAGATTCAATCCCAGCTTAAACTTATACTCGGCCATAAAACCTTGAGTGACGAAGTCTCCGAGTAAAACAACATCCAAAGCAACAACTCAATTTCAGCGATAAACCAAAAAATGTCCATTGTCCACTGTCAATATTGTAGCAATGCACAAAGTAATGCTCACACAGAAGTCACTTTCAAACCAAGCAGCTTCTTGTTGGTCAATGTATCAAATTTGTGTGAAAAAACTGAACCTGATGCAAAATCTGCGTGGGGAAATCTTTCGCTCCTATGCAAAATTTCTAATTGTGCAGATTCCTATTGACATAACTAGATTTCGCCCACAAAAATTCTTAGAGCAAAGGTAAATGTGACCGCACCTTTAGCCAGTGGCTTTGTCTTCAATTCTTAAAAAATGAGTTCAAGTTTAAATGAACAAATAAATAACCTGAGGAAAGGATCTCAACAGAAAATTCAAATAACAGGTCAATATGAAACAAACCGTCTTTTTTACCTTGCAAAGGATAATTAACGAGTTTTGCAATGAAATGTTCACACGGAAACTATTACACCTAACTGTTGCTACTTCAGTAAAATCTTTTGGAAGAAGCCAAAGATTTAAGTTAGATATGTGAATCAATACCACAAAGCTCCCAGCACAAATGGAGCTGTCATTTTTACAAATTTGTTATATACTGAATTCTATTATATACCAAATTTGAGAGAAATCTGCATAAACAATAAATTTCCTCTTAAATAAATTATATTTATATTATTTTAAAATACATATCCCTTTCTTTTTTTGCCTGAAACAAAGTGCCTGGTCTGTCAAAACACTGCAGAAGCAGACTTTCCTTTTCTCCATCAGTGGAAGGATTTGTTGCTCCTCAAAGTGAAGTTCTCCCTCTTGTTTGTGACACTGGACTGGATGCAGTGAGTTTTAGCCATGCGGGACTTGAACCAGAAGTTCACTCAAGCTCTGTCTTCAATGCTCATGGTGTGCATCTATTGCTAGTGGTGGATTTGAGTTGGTCCCCGCATGCAAATTCTGGAGTTGTACACCTTGCCAGAGTGTGAGAAGAACGAATGGTGGGAGAATTACGTAACCTATCCTGTTGTTTGTTTCTCAGACAGGTTCACTCTGTAATGGTGAAGGCAGGCTGGGGCTCACCCTGGGAGGGCTCATCGTCAGGGCCCAGAGTGAAAGGTGTGCTCACGGAGGCCTGGTGGATAATGGCTGTCTCTCCGCCTGGTGGCGTCTTATCCTGAGACTGGGAGGAAGAGGTTGATGAGTGCGTGCTCTCGCTGGAGCTGCTGCGGGTGTCTGTGCTGGTGCTGGTCTTCTTCATCTTCCTGCGTTTGGCCAAAGGAGCCTTGTCAACCGTCTGGAGTCGGAAGCCTTCCCGCTTACACTTATTAAAGGCCTGAGGAAGACATAACAGTATTACACAATAAAACAAGATATACAAAATATTGGCGACCACATCAGTGTTTGCCAATATTACAGTTACAGAAAGCTTAATATATTATGCATAATAATAATAACAATAATAAATGTAATGTAAAATAAAATATTTTATTATTTTTTTCTCTAAATACTTGATTTATTTTCTTTTATTTAATGAAATATGACAATAGTACTTTTAATCAGCAATAACAACAACAACAACAAATCATGCAGCCATGTTATGTTGTAGTTTTTATTTTCTAGCATCCATCCTTCTATTTTTTTCACTTTCTTACATTGAAGGTGGCTTTGACACAGGTGTGCACTGATTTGGTAGAAGATCCCAGGATGTCAGGGGTCATAAGCGGGTTGGAGGAGAGCTGACTGTCATCCTGCAGCCAGGCATTATAGCGTAGGCCACACATTTTTATCCGTTTGTCAGGGTCCACCGTCAGCAGCTCTGAACCATGAGTAGGTCAGACACATTTTAGTTTTAACAAATGCATTCCCATTTAAAACACTGCAAAATGGTCTCTAAACGTCTTTAGCTGTGTCTCACCTTGTATCAGATCCTTAGCATGACTGGACACATTCCTCCAGGCTTCACCTTCGAAAGAGAAGTCTCCTTGTTTGATCTTCTTCATAATCTCTTCTGCACTGGTGTGCATTAGACTCTTCCCCTGGCACTGAAATGGGACCTGGCCAGATAGCATGGTGTACTACAACAAAACAAAGCACACAAGAGCACCTTAATGCAGGGTATCTCAAGGCTCTATCTTAGGACCGATTTATTTTCATCATATTTACTTCTAGGTTTCATAAAAAAAAAAACTGAAATTTACCTTCACTGCTATGCTAATGATACAGAGCTACCTTTTGATTTAAAGTCAGCATGAAATAAAAATTGGACAGTGCACATTGATAAACAATACTGTAAATATGCAAAAATTAGCCAAAGGATATTTTTCATCTGTAGTCCCTGGACAGAATGTTACAGTATCACCCTAGAAACAAAATATGAAATCTAAATTATACATCATTGTCATTTCTCAACCAACAGTATTCAACAATTTGTCTCCTCCGCATCACCCTGTAAACAGCGTATGCTGTTCTGACGCAGTGTGACGCAGCTGACACAGAACAGCATACGCTGTTTACAGCGTTTCTTCTTTTGCGCACAAAAAGTATTCTCGTAGCTTCGTATATCTGCGGTTGAACCACTGATGTCACATGGATTATTTTACCGATCTCCTTGCTACGTTTCTGGACTTGGGAACATTTCAGTTGTGTTGCTGTCTATGCAGGGTCAGACAGCTCTCAGATTCCATTCATTTTTGGGTTAACTAACCCTTTAATATGTGATTAACCCAGGCATGGGCAAACTCGGTCATGGAGGGCCACTGCCCTGCAGAGTTTAGCTCCAACCCTGATAAAACTCACCTGCTTGTGGCCTTCTAGTAATCCTGAAGACATTGATTAACTTGTTCAGGTGTGTATGAGCAGGGTTGAAGCTAAACTCTGCAGGACAGTGGCCTTCCAGGACCGAGTTTGTCCATGCCTGGATTAACCCCTTAAATTTGACAAGTATATTAAAGCTGTTTTGAAGAGTTGACTCTTCTAGCTTAGACCTTTTACCAAACTGAAATCTGTCCTTTATTGTCTTGAACAGGACAATCATTGAGCTTCTGACTGTTACCAGCAAGAGGGACCATATTTCTTCTATACTGGACAGAGTACACATTTTTGTTATGCTTTGAAAGCTGTAGATGTATTGGAACATTGTTACTCTGATCTCTGCAGTTTCCATCACACCTACAGGTCTCTTAAATATGCCAACTAGCTGCTCCTTACTCACTCGTGGTGCTTAATGCTGAGTTCATAAAATGGCCACAGTCCGTTGAGACCTCATCAATACGTTCAAACTGTGCCTTAAGACTTATTTGCCCTCACTGGACATTATGACAGTGTAACAGTCATTGTGTGCTGGACAGATGTAATGTGTGTTTTCCATTTGTCTGTGTTTGAGCACAACACACTTTTTTGTTGTTTTTAAATGTGTTATATCAATAAATTATAGATAAGAACACATATTATTGTTATGAAAATGAAATGGAGAAAAAGTGCACAGCTAAATAATCCACACAGCTCTTATCTTTCCCAGTACTGTGGTCTCTCTCCGTGTTGTGCAGAGCTCCAGGGTCTCTCAGCTCACAGCCTGTCAGAAATCATCACATCAAACTCTGCTGTTTTGTTCACCCCCCAGCCAGGTCCTGCTCCCCAATACAGAGTGAGCTAGAAACGGCCCTACATAAATAACTCAGCTATGGACATCTCCCCAGGCTCCACCTCGCTATCTCCACTCATCTTTCTCTCAATGAAGTCCTGGCTGGAAAAAATTCTGCTTAAGGGTAGTCGCGAGGACTCCAAAAAGCAATGCTAAGCTGTTTTGGAAAGGCTTGATAGTTCGTTTATTTTGGTTGGTGTTCAAGTGAATAAGTGTCAGAAACAGCAAGACATGGATTCATATCCAAAAGGAGTAAATAATCTACATGAAGAAGGATAAAAGCTTCTGTATGGATACAAACCAGAATCTCATATTTGCAGAAATATTTGGAGAAAGCACTCATACATTCATACAAAACGCACCATTCAGTGTTTTATTTCCATTAAAAAAAGCCTGAAAAATGAGATATTTCAGTGTGACAAAGGTGCACTTGCCCCATTCTCTCCTCCATAAAATCAGTTGAACACAACTGCTGTTTCAAACCCTAGTGGGCATCCCTGCATATTAGTGGTCGACCGATATGGATTTTTATTTTATGGCTGATGCTGTTATCTGGTTGGGTGGCCAATGGCCGATATAAAACCAATATACATTATATGATATCACACTATTTAATTTACAGATAGTAAATAAATTACTAAGTAAATTAATTTATATTTATTTGACATAATATTTACAAACAGAAACAAATATTTGAAAATTAATCAAATAAATCTGAACTTGATAAAAATACATTTTTAAAATGACCAGATTTATACTTTAGATAGCAATTTTCATCAATTTGTAATCCTATAAATCTGTAAAAAATTAATAGGACAACAGGATTACAGAATCAAGAAGTTGCTATCTCTCTAAAAGTATTAATCTGTTAATTAAAGATGAAGAATGGGCGCTCCTGTGAGTCTGCAATCAGGCACTCTTGGTGATGTCAAAGTAAAAATCCCAATTCCTTACTGGCCAAAAAAAAAAAAAACGTATCTAATTCTGATAATTAAAAAATGCAAACATATATCGGTCACCACTATTGCTGAGAGCTAACTAAAATATGACCTCATCAACAATCATTTGTAAAGTTCTTCATAGGAAGCAACTTTAAGTCACTCACACTCATTTAGCACTCGCCAGCCATCTTGGTAATGCATAAATATGTGCAATCTTGAAAAAATTAAAAAAAATTACACTTCCTAGTACACATCCCTTACGAAAAAGAAGTTTATTCAAGTGTGCTATTAGTATACTTCTTTTAAACTAAAAATAGGAAAGTATACTATATATATATGTATATATATATATATATATATCTTAAAAAAATCTCTTAATTTGTGTTCCGAAGATGAACAAAGGTCTTACGGGTTTGGAACGACATGAGGGTAAGTAATTAAAAAAATAACCTGCTGCAGTAAGATATTATTTTTAGTAGGCTAAATTGCTTATTTTGTATCTTTTTTCTATAGTATTTGTCCTATTGTTTGTAATTTGTTTGTGCACAGTTGTAACTGTTGTTTGTTGACAGTGAAACTGCTCTGAAAGAACCGATTAAGGGATTGAGCGACATTTTGGATGCACCAACAGGGGCCCCCTCACAAAATTTTGCCTTGGGCCCCCAGAACTTTATTACCAGCCCTGTGCATAACCCTAAATATAAAATTAGGGAGCACAAGGAAACACGCTATTTGCAAGAATAACCACATGGAACAGTATATGATCGCAATTACACCGATAGATAATCTATTATGAAGTGCAAAGCCTTCTATCCTGGCACAGATGTACATTTAAAGACAGAAAGTCAGAGGGAATTATGCCTTTGAATTCAGAAGGAGCTGGAAAAATCACTTGGAAAAGGTTCAGATTTAAGATGATTTTATAAATGGGATTCAGTCACATTATAAGCTGAATGAGTGTGAATAAGTGAACAGCAGAACAAGTGTTTGTGCCGTATGTGGGTGGGATGAGATAGAAAAGAGTGTACAAGTGTGTGTGTGTGTGTTTGTGTGTGTGTGTGTGTGCACAAAAGAAGAAAGAGAGGCAAATGAAAAAGAGCAAGCTAATATCTCTCATTATCTCTGGTATAGAGGAACAAAGACCCTGACCGGGCAGGGCAGCTCTGCTTTTCATCTGGGGCATGGCAGTGGTTACAGCGGGTGGGGGTTGATAACCTCCAATTGGCAAGTGGACACATACACACTTTTACAGATCTGAGGTGCCCAACTGACTCAAGCTTATCATAATGAACAATGAATAGGACGATGGATCAGGATGTCTGGCACACACTGAAATATACATACACACACAAACACGAATAACATGTATATACTACCGTTCAACAATTTGGGTTCAGTAAGATTTTTTTAAAGAAATTAATACTTTTATTCAGCAAAAATGCACCAGAAATAAATTTTTAATGTAACAAAATATTTCCATTTTAAATAAATGCTGTTCTTTTAAAACTTCTATTCTTCAATGAAGCCTGAAAAAATTCTATCATGCTTTCCAGAAAAATATTAAGCACAGGGCTCCAGACTGCGACAAAAACAAAAACGCATTTGCAACCAAAAATATTAATTTCAGAGTGACCTTACTACATAAAGTATACTTAAAAATATACTTGAACTTTACTTAAGTATACTTACTAAAATAAACTTGAAGTATACTACTTTTTGGTAAGGGATACCTTACATACTGTAGGTATTACGTGCAGTATGAACACTGGCCTTACCAAAATGACTCCTAAACTCCAGAGGTCGCAGGACTCATCATAACCATTGTATTTGAGGATTTCCGGTGCAGCGTACTGAAGAGTGAAACAGGGGGTCTTCAGGAGCTGATTGTCAGGAGGTTTGAGCCGTGCAAAGCCAAAGTCAATAACTTTTATTTCCGAATTCTCAGTGTCGTCAGTGAATAGCAAATTCTATAAAGAGAACAGAGATTGAAGAAAAGTCCATTAGACAGTCTGACAAATAAACCAATAAATCCTCATTAGTTTTCCAACACAAATATTTACTAATTCACTGTTCGCCAAATTGAAACAAGCATTATTGAGGGGCATAAACTTAACAAGGCAGATTTTTCTTGAGTAAGTTTCCTTTTAATTAAGCAAGACTTGTCAACCCTAAGGCCTAACTACTATGTAAAGTTCTGCCCAACCTACACTTTGGGGCCCCTCGGCCTGGAGTGCTGTGACATGTGGGTTGTACATTTGAGATAATGACAGTGGATGTGTTGTGTTGTGGCATGCTGTACCTCAGGTTTGAGGTCCCTGTGCACCACACCAACGTCATGCATGTAACTGACGGCAGACACCAGTCTGCGCATGATGCGGCTGGCCTCCGTCTCACTGAAGTGCTGCTTCCTTCTGATCCTCTCCAGCAGCTCTCCACCTTGCAGGAGCTCCAGAACAAGATATGTGTGTAGCTATACAAACACACAAACATAAATTCACCATATTAGAGAGCATTGTTATTTTTGTATCATTGATATACTATTATAGGTTTGTTAAAGGGATAGTGCACCCAAAAATTTTAATTCTGTTTTTAATTACTCACCCTCATGTCGTTCCAAACCCGTAAGACCTTCCTTCATCTTCGGAACACAAATGAAGATATTACTGATGAAATCCGAGAGCTTTCTGACCCTCCATAGACCACAATGCAACACAGAGTGACGTTTTTGCTGAGGTCGCCACTGGCGACTATAGAAATGTACATGTTATGATAAAAAAATTAGCATGTAATGAAAGCGATCACATCTTTTGTTATGTTGACGTAATAAACTGAGACGATGCGCATTAAAGTTTTAGTGGAAAAAAGACTTTCAAACGGTCTTCATCTCTGCCGAGCAGCAGTGCTGACGGCACACCTGCTGAAAGCAGCTTCAGTTGTGCAGCATGAGAGAGCGGAGACGCACGAAATAAAAGTGCAGAAAATCAGTGTCTAATTCATGCGCAACTTGAACAAACTACAACAGGTAAAGCTGTCAGCTGTGTGGACATTAACAATATATAGTTAACAATTCATTTATAATCGATACTTCTTGTTATAAAGATCTTGCTGTGTTCTTCTGTTAATGCGTGAACTTATTTGCAGCACACTTGCGGTCAGTTAATCGCAATAAGCTGTGAGCTTTGTTACATTTATTAAACAAAGTATCAGCTTTAGAAATTCTGCCAAATTCATAACGAAATTCGAATAATAAATAATGTTTCGTGCCCTTTAAAGGAACACGCCTCTATTTTTGAAAATAGGCTCACTATGCTAAGCTGTAGCTAAAAGTGCTACCGCCAGACCCGGAGATCGGCTGAATAGATTTGAAAACGGTAAAACTCAACTGTTTTACTCTAGGGGAGTTGGAAAATGAGCCTATTTTCAAAAATAGTGGCGTGTTCCTTTAATGTGGCATGAGTGATCGCTTTAGCGCCTCAGTTCAAGCGGCACATCATATCTTTCTATTTACTATAATATGAAATAAACATGAATGGACCTCAAAAGGTATATTTATAAGATATAGTACATCTTACTGAAATGTCTCATGTAATCGCTCATTCAGTGTTTCAAACTGCGGAAAACGCATAAAGCTTGTAAACAATGCGACATAATCATTTACCTCAGAATAACTGCAAGCTCATCAGTCAGCTAGAAAAAAATAACTATAAATAGGAGCATTTTGCTAAATTTATGCACTTATATTCATAGTTTTACTTAACCTGTTGTCTACATGATAAGAACAAATGCAAGGAGCTAAAGGTAAAATTCAACACCTCCTAAACAATTCTTTGCGACTATATATAGTTCTCAAGTTGGAAAGACGTTTAGTTCCCACTTTAAGTGAACCTTAGTTCCCAGGACATCTACAAGATGGATTAAATTACTGATAAAGAAAAGAAAAGAGGAGACATAAACACATGACAGCAGGGTGCAATTTGTGAGCAAACCAGAGGGGGGGATGTTTTGAAAAAATAAAAAATCTTTTTTTTCCCCCCCTTGAAAATATATTACAAATCACAGTGGAGCTTCGATATTTGACAACTATTTATGATAATACTTGGTTAAAATGACACTAATAGTTCTTATTTCTGCCAGGAATGCAAAATCAATCGTGAGTTAATTATATTTTGAATAGAACGACACAAACCTGTACATATTCAATCGCGTTTGCTTCCATTTATTTTTGATCAGTGCTACACAACATACAAACTTTTACTCCAAATGTGCGCACATTATGCATTCACACGTTTACCTCATATTTCTTTAAATAGAATAGAATAGAACCATAATTTCTAAATGACTCGCAGAAAGACGATTCTCTTCTGATCCATCTGTCAATATTGCGTGATCATAATTACATTACGGTGATTTTAAACTTCTGCGTTCTGTCTCATAATAGCTACATTTATGTATCAGTTTATTAATTACAATAAATGCATTAGGTCACAGTAGAGAGTTTTGAGCAAAAACATTGCATACTGTCACGCGCGCTGACTTTCTGAAGAGCCCTGCATGGATTAAGGTGCGTGAACCAGGATCACAAAACCCAGGCGGTCTCGATTAAGCGGGAACACTGACAGTCAAAGTACATTTCTGATTTTTTTTGTTGTTTGTATTGTCATGTTGCAGTGTTTTATTTAATAAAAAATATTTGTATTTTTGGTATTTTATGTGCTCTGTTGGTAGTTGGTGGGATAGCATCACCCTGGGGATATTTTTTTTATCCCCACCGGGTCTGATGCATGACAGTATGACTGAAGTGTTAAAGTGTTAAAAAAAACAATAAAACACGTTTATTCTGTGGTACCTAAAAAAATTATTTGGCACCTAATTTTGTTTCTTATAGGAGCCAATGGCTCCTTAATTTATTTTTTTGTATGGAGCCCTGAAGCAGCACAACTGTTTTCAACATTAATAACAAATGTTTCTTGAGCAATACATCAGCAAATTAGACTGATTTCTGAAGGATCACGTGACATTGAAAACTGGTGTAATGGCTGCTGAAAATTCAGCTTTGTCATTAAAGGAATTTATTACATTTGTAAATATTAATATAGAAAACATTTTATATTGTAATGATATTTCACAATATTACACTTTTATTGCATTTTTGATAACATAAATGCAGCCTTGGTGAAAATAAGACACTTTTTTCAAGAACACTTAAAAAAAAAATCTTACCAACCCCAAAGTTCTGAACAGTAGTGTGTATTTAAAAAAAATAAAAGAAAACAAAATCACTTTGTAAACATGACTGTCACACCGACTGCTGCAAGTATGATGAAGGCACGATGAAGATAATAGAAATAAATCATTTTAATAGATAATCCACAAGATGAAGAAGTTCTCACACAGGGTAACATCAAACAACATCGGACAACATAAGGAACAGAACGGGGAGTACTTATATTAACTCAAACAAGGGACTAATGACTAGATTAACAGAACATCTAATAAAAAGTTTACGAAAAAATAAATAAATAAAAAATAGCTGGCGAAGAGTTTGGCAGAAAGTTACATTTGTAGACATTTTCAATACAGCACACTAGTGTTAATCAAAATCCTGCATCGTCAACAGTAGATGGCGCTGGTTCACTTTTTAAAAAAATATATCACACTTCGAGAAACGGTATCAAAAAAATATTTATAGTTCTAAAAGTTATTTATGGTTGTGTTACAGTTGGAGAAAAATCTTACACTCAACCCTGGGCTTGTTTATTTTTTGATAATGCTTTAAAGCAATGTTTCTCAAATTTGAACAAAACAGAACACTTAGGCTACGTCCACACGAAGCCAGAGCTTTCCCTATCTGATCTTTTTTTCCCTCTCGTCTCAAGAAATATCTGCATCCACACGAAACCACAAAACCGACACAAAACGATGTAGTATACATGCCAGACCAATATGTGGCGCTGTAATTCTGCCACAGAGATACACTAAAAACGGAGAACAAGACTTGGACTATGCGCATAAACCTTGCGCGCGGTATACAAACGAACATGGAACAATACATTTATTAATCCGTGTTAATGATGGTTAATAAAAAGACAACCGTTCAGTGTTTGTTCATGTTTTTGTTGCTGTTACGTGACGTAGCGGTGTCTGACTAGGGGCGAGACGTGGGCTGATGACGTCATTGTTTCAGAAAATATACGGATTCGCTGTCCACACGAAAACGCAAGGGCGGCGTTTTCAGATTTATCCACTCTGGTACCCGGTTTAAAAAATATCGGTTTCACTCTCCCAAAATGCCGGATCCGTGTGGACGAAACGCCTATACGATACAAAATTTATGCGTATACAGCTAAACGCGTCTCCGTGTGGACGGGGCCTAAAAGTCCATGGTGGTGACAATGACATGACATGACATACACAGTACATTTGGATATGTAATGTAATTTACAAATGAACAGAATATTTTGGGGGAAATAATTTAGGGTGGCATTTAACATTACCCATTGGGATTTTACTAGGGATGGGTCACGATTTTCGAATATTCGATTAGTTGATTTAATAATAGATTATCGAATAGGCTATGCGATTTTTTTTAGACAATAATTCTCCATGTTTTCGGTGCTGATGTGCTGATGACACGTTCATGTAAGCAGAGGGTGGCGCACCTAAAAGCTGTCAAAGACAACAGAAGAACAACAACATTGTCTCACGCGCATATTGTAGATTTGCGTCAGGATTTAACCACCAAATCTTTTTCTCCAGCGGCGGATTTCCTTAATCTAGCACTAGCAGCAGCCCACCTGTGACAAAACGCGCTTGGGCCGAAGGTAAATACACACAACTACAACGAGTGTGGACCTCAGATTTCAGCCGAGATCGGTCCATGGAGAAAAAGCCATCTGACATCCAGAAGTGTTTTGAAGCATCGGCACGGCTCTGGCCCATTATTTTCTCACAGATGCCGAGACAGTGCCGCATTTCAGCCGGAATCGGCCCGAATGTGCTTGCTATCTGTTTGTTCTCTGCGGCCGGACTAAAATTGTGAACAGATTGCGCTCCCGTCTTCATCCCGAACATGTGGACATGCTCAGTTTTTTAATAAAAATATAAGATAGGTTATTGTTATGAAGACAGACGTTAAAATTAATGTTCACATAAGTGCCGTCATTCAGGGTGTTCACAATATGCTTTAACGCGTTTAGACCTATAAAGTCATTATGACTTGAGGTGATATTCATGGATTAATTAATTAAACTTTTGATTTTCGTTTTAAAATTACTATTAATGCTCATTTTTTAAATGGAAATGTCCTAGCCTTATGAGCAGTTTATGCTAATCGACGGACTGTTATATTATTAAGTGCCGTCATTCGGTTATATTATTTTAATGTTTCAGCATGTTATAATCAATATATGGCTTGAGTTTAGATAGCCTATTCCCTAATGAATTGAACAGTTTGTTAACATACAGACTGAAAGCGTGAATGATATCTTTCCCTTTTATGGGTGTGTAGCCTATGAGTGCGTACATGCGGGGGAGGGGTGCGATTTTCGAATAATACCCAGCGATTTTCGAATAGTATTTTTGCTTGAAATGCCCATCCCTAGATTTTACAGAATCGACAGGAAGTTGACGTTACTGATTAACAGTGTTGGGGAAAGTTACTTTTAAAAGTAATGTATTACAATATTGCGTTACTCCATAAAAAAGTAACTAATTACGTTACTTAGTTACTTTTTATGGAAAGTAATGCGTTACGTTACTTTTGCGTTACTTTTTAAATCTGGACAGGGCTTGCTTGTTTGTTTTTAAAATAAAAAAGTTCTATTTTTGGCAAATATAAAAGCCTTTTCACACCAAAAGTGAAATGAATAAGCCTCAGGTTGAAGGGAAAGTAAATTTACGTCCGTACAGTAGAATGCAGAAGAAGAAATTTCAACACACTTTAGCAATAAAAAAAGACACACAAATGTTTGTCTAGAGTCATTTTTGCTTAGTATGGTTGAACTGGATCATCGAAGGTCAGAAGCAAAGACATTGGTTAATAGAATGGGATTAAATACATAAAGGATATTTGTGTTGTTTAACATTTAATTATGGCAGGTTTGCGTCATATTCTGTGTTGCATTATTTTTATTCGTTTTGAGGAATGCTGAATCGTTTTTTTTTTTGTGAGTGATTTGAATTAATGCAGATTCATATTTATTTTAGAACTACAGTAACATCTTCTGTTTTCTCAACATGGGGACAGGAGAGCTGTCAATTAATACATTGAAAAAAAAAAGTAACTTGCGTTAATTATTTGAAAAAGTAACTCAGATATTCTCTTGTAAATTAAAAAGTAATGCGTTACTTTACTAGTTACTTGAAAAAAGTAATATGATTACGTAACTCGCGTTACTTGTAATGCGTTACCCCCAACACTGCTGATTAATACTAATTCTTTTTCTGCCCAGAAAAATTATTTTATTTTTATGAAATATCATACTTTTCGTAATTCTAAAACAACGTTTATTACATTGCTTATTGTACAAGCTGTCATAGGTTCGTAATCTAGGTTTTTTAGTTTGTTTTTAGTCTCCCATCGACTTACATCGGCAAAGCAAATCTGATGCACTTCTATTTTTTTCTGCCCTGCGGAATTAAATCTGGGGCAGGTACGAGGACAAAGAGAGTGCAAACTTATTCAGGCTAGCCCAGTTCATTGAGAGAATGAGGCATTGAATTGCACATGAGCTCTAGGTTTCAGTCTTAAACACTGTCTTACCTGGTCATGGTAGATCTCATGTAGCTTGACTATGTTGGGATGTCCATCACACAGTTTGAGAGCAGCGATCTCTTTCTGTGTTTGTGCCTCCATTCTGCAGAACAATAAAATACAAATTACTTCCATGACTATTAGCCTATATAATTCAACTGAACTTTAAATACATCAGAAAGACTCTGTTAGCAGGCTGCATAGCTGGTACCTTTTACTGACAATCTTTACAGCGTATTTCTGTCCAGTCTTTTTGTGAGTGCACTGTCTGCAGATGGAGAAGCTTCCCTCTCCCAGAGCGCTCTCCCTCAGGTCCATCTCATAGTTCATGTAGAACGGAGAGTCCTACGGTCAGTTTGTCAGAAGTAAAGGTCAGGAAAAATCCACTTACAATGATAATCAAGGTATCTTGTACCAAAACCATTGTAATATACTTTCACATGACCCTCTATCTGACACTTAGAATTAAACGGGTTGTTTACCATACCTTTAACATTTTTATATGTAAATGAGCCCTGTTTTGACTGGCTAGCCTGTATATATGGGTGGATTTCAAACTAACATTTATCAAGTTCATGATTAATGTGTAACTGTTGCAAATGTAGAAGGTCATATCTTAATGTGCTTGTGGTTCAATGATTTCTGAATTACCCGTTTTTGCGGATTTATTTTGATAAATGGTCTGGGTGGACTGTGAAGGGATCTTTGCTTATAAATGGTCTGGGTGGACTGTGAAGGGAGCTTTGCTTATAAATGTTGGAGAATGTCTGCATAGTACATCAAAAATCATTTTTTAGAAAAGCAAGGATAATCCTGCTGCTCTTGATCATTCCTGACAGTTCTGGAGAAGGATATAAAATAGGGTATAAAATGTCAGGATTTTACATTTTGTGCTATTTTAATTACTGGTCTACTGTACATACACACAAGAAATGAATGCTGTTGGCTTTTTTAGTGTATCACACCCATGAACACAATGTTTTAAAGACATTTTCAAATGTGATCGTCAGTGTATTGAGCATATACATTAGCAACATTTTATGAGAGTTAATGCACATTTATGCACCACTTCTGCTAAATACCACTGCACTCATCTAGCTGTTTTTAAAGCAAGAACTGTGTGAAAGCCCCTCAAAATGTTTGCCACTCAAGAGTGAAGCTGTCATTGCAATATTTGCATAGTGAATTGTAGTAGGACTTTTGTTCTCATGTCAATTTATTCTTCTCTTATGCACATTATCAGTTTCTCTCTCTTACACTCTAACGTCATCATTTAATTTACCAAAAACTAGAAATCAACCAAAACTGTTTTAACAACCAATACTGATTATTATTATGGTATAATTGTATAATCAATATGCATAATATGCATTCAATAACCATTCCTGTAGCTCTACCAGTAGAGCATGGCACCAGCTTTGGAAAAAAGCGTCTGCCAAACGCATAAATATGTATAACCGATAATAATTTATTTCTATATTATATAATAATAGAAAGTGTAATTATTTATGCAAGCAATTGAGTTACTAAGTTAAGTTCAGTTATTGTAACTGTGAACTAGTGGTCGACCGATATATCGTCAAGGCCGATATATCGGCCGATATTTGGCATTTTTTAAATATCGGCATCGGCCGATAAGTTTTCCTGTTTGGCCGATGCGTTCGAGGCGGGACTTTTATTTTGACGTCGAGCACACAGACGTCAAATTTTGAGCACACAGTGCTTACATTCTCCCTCTTGTTCGTTGTTGTCCTTCAGTTCTGTCTAATATGGATTATCTAATACGTCTGTCTAATAATCAGATAGAACGGTTAAACAAAGGAATTAAAATTTATACAAAAAGTATTATAACAATTGCTTTTATATTATTAGTAATAGAAAGGCAAACATTATAATACTTTCTTGTTTGCCGTCAGCATTCAGCAAATACACATTTATATCATTTAAACAAATCTTTGAATGTCTAATAAACATCTAATTTCAAAAACCTTGCAAACTTAGTCAGATCCAGTTGTGAGATCTTGTGAAGTGTGCATTTGTATCCTGCATGATCGCGTGTTCTCTGCGTGACGGTCGATCCGTGAGAATTGAATGTGGACAGGAGGAGAGTTCAGCTTCACTGGAGACGTGCGATCGACAAACTTTAAACTCATGATTTTAAATTATGCTGCGCTTTATGCATTTGCCCACTGTCATATTCATGTCATTTTCACTGTGTGCTGTATGTAAAATGAGTGTTACCTTGGCTTTATTTGAAAAAAATATGATTAATGCACACAAACTTCCCAGAATACTGAGTGCCCTGTTGGTTACAGTGTTTACTTCCTTTTTAATTATATTTTTATTAAATATTTATTTGTGAAAAATACTTTGTCATCTAAAGTCATATATCGGCTTTATATCGGCCATCCTGCTTTCCAAGATATCGGCATCGGCTGTCAAAAAAACAATATCGATCGACCACTACTGTGAACTGTGTTGTTATGTTGATCACAGTGGCACTGTGGCACTATTACAGTAGGTGCTATTTTACTTTTTTTTACTTAAACTTAAGATGGTGTAAAACCGATAACTGTGAAAAAGTGTAAATATTGTTAAAAAAATTATTAAAAGCAGTTTATTGGTCTATCGCTACCTAAAGCTAATTTGCTGCCTTAACAAGCACTAATATTTCTTTCAATGTTTTTGCAAAAATAATGACTGTTTTCAAACAGGTTTCCTGATTTTTCCATTGGTTGCATTGGACTTATAGAGAAATGCTTACACTTTTCAGTCAAATCAACATACAAATGTCTTACTTACAGTTGTACCTCACATTAAACTGGGATGGGAGAAAGTATATTAACATTGAAAAAAATGACACACCTCAGCTTTAAATGTTGTAACGTTTTTACAAAGCAGCGATATGCAGACTGACCTTCATCATAGCACTACGGGCAACAGCTGCGGAGCCCGGCCTCTCTGACCCGCCGCACAGCTTAGCCGGGTCGTCCATTACCGCATTCCTCTTAAACAGGATGGAGGGAGCCATGAAGGAATAGCCCTGCAGATACAAACAGCTATAAACACACTCACTAACAGAAGAGGGAACTAATGCAGAGGAAGTTTCAGGGTCACTGACAGAACTCAAACACCAAGGCCTTTTGCAATTCTGCAAATCCTTCATGCTAAGGGACTCCAGTCACATTGTTTGCGACAACTGCATCATGTGCGCCCATCTAAATAAAGCCTCCGACAGCCCATGTCCCACTTACACGGCCAGACTGCAGCTGTGTGCTACATGGGCGGAGGAGTGGCTGGCTGGATGAGAGGACGGCTGGACGGAAGGATGAGGAGATGAATGGTTGAAATGCTTTTAATTGCTAAGCCAAGGTATTTGATTGCCCTGCTTTTCAAATGATCACAGTCCTCTAATGCAGCTTAATTTCAGTTTGTGAGGAGTTTGACGGGTGGCTGGGTTTATATGCTGCTATGCATGTGTGTGTGCGGTGGAGCACTTCGAAAGTTATCATTACAGACATCGCTGCAATTGTACCGCCCGAGAATTACGAAGGATCAAAATTCCAGCGCACATGAAAGGCGAACACTCAGAAAAGCCTAGATGAAGTTGGTAATCAAAGGTTGAAGGAGTAATTGAGCCAGACATGGTTGTTCTCACAGACGCCGACCTTTTATTCCATGACAGAGCCGTTTAATGGCGGCATTGATCCTTTAGACTGAAGGATTCAGCAGGCAATCATAGACACCATCTCTTTTGCAGCCTCCCATTTCAGCTGGCATCATGCTATAGGCAACGTTATGGATCAAGACACATCAAAAATAGTCATTCACATCTGATGCTTGAATCCATCTCCATATCACCATAATTACATCTCCAAACAGCTCTCTAATTCATCTGAATACCAACATAGACAGCCGGGCTCACATTGCGCAAGTGATCATTATAAAGGCTGACTTGCCCATATCCACTTCAGTACTTCCTGCTCACTAATAATGGAGGGCTAACTGAACAATTATATCCTAACGCAACATCAAATGTCCACTCATGTGCAGAAATTCATTCTTAGTCATAAATAAATGCTCAGTGCAAACAAATAATGCACAGGGGTAGGATGACATTAATGATGATGATGATGATAATAATAATAATAATAATAAAATATTAACAAATGTTTAAATTATCTTTTGGATCCACTTTAGTCCACTTTTCATTCACATTGATGTTTTTGGAACCCAGTCAATATGAACACTGATGAGGATTACTGTATTTTAATTACTGTTGCTGAATATTAGAATTATTGTGCAATAGTAATACAATGGAGTCTTAAATTCCTCACTTTCACATATCATGTTAGGCGGTCTGACGTGCAAATGACCATAAATATCTGCTATTACACAAATATTATAATACATTAAAATGAGTTTTAATTCCACTACCTGGAAGATGCGGTCACAGTTGTTTGGAAGTGCCGCTGGGGAGTATGTCGGGTCCATCTCTGTAAACTCATCTGCAAAGTTGCTAACATCCAGCTCATCACGAATTACAGGCTTAAATGGAGCCGGAACCTTCTTAGCAGCTAGATCCTCCCAGTTCATTTTCTAAATCAACGATAGTCAAACATTTGAGATGTTGGTCCTTCAAAGCTTGAATGGATCTGAATTAACTTTAACAAGCCAAAGAAATGACGAGGGAAAAAGTTATTCTTCTCTACTAAAATTCCCTTTTTGGGGAAAAAGTCAATTATTCATTTTTGCCTTGCCTGGTAAAATGGATGGCTTTTCACATTCTGGGCCCCTGAGGGCCCTGAGCCCAGCCTCTTCTTTGGGTCTTTATTTAGTAATCGCTGGATAATGTCTTTGGCCAGAGGCCCCAAGTCTTTGGGGAATGGAGGATCCTTTTTCATAATTCTCCTATTGGGCAAAGAGAGAGAATGAATGAATAAAGAAAACCAAGTGCAGCTTTAAGAAGGTAATTTAATGCTTTTTTGTCAACATGCTGATGCAATCAAACAGTCAACTCTTGATTTCAAAACAACACGGACTTCTAGAGAATTAAAAGAGAACTGGCGTTTAACCACATAGAGAATTAGGGTTGGGAACTGAGAACCAGTTATTATTCAGTTCCATTACAAAAATAAAAATAAGAATTCAAAAAAATTAGATTTTTGAGTTTTCAGATCTGTTCAAGTCTGATTCCTGAACAAATGACTCCTATGATCCATCCAATTTCATCATGTCCGATTCAAAATGAACCCCGAAAAAAATATTCTTGTTATGTGTATGTAAGGCTCATGATACTAAAGTTGACTGATCATAACTGTTCATATGATGATGTGATACACATGATGATTTTTGTTGTATCTTAATAAATAGCATTTTATAAAAAATAATTTCAATAAAGAACTTAAAAGGTCTCAAAAAGTCTACGCAAAGATGAAAACCCTGTACTCCCTCTCATGTCGTTCCAAACTTGTATGCATTTCTTTCTTCTCCTCAACACAAAAGAAGATATTTTAAAGAATGTTGATAACCAAAGAGTTTTGGTACCCAATGACTTCCTTTCCATACAACAAAATTCAATAGGAACTGAAACCGTACAGCTACCAACATTCTTCAAAGTATGTTCTGTTGTCTTACACAGAAGAAAGAAAGTCATACAGGTTTGGAACAACATGAGGGCTAGTAAAGGATGGCAGAATTTTCATTTTTGGGTGAACAATCCTTTTAAAGAATCATTAATGGAACCAGAGATGCTAAGAGGAATAACAATCAGAACCAGAATTGTTAAATTCCTTACTCCCGTCCCTCCAGAGAATACAGCTCTGAGTATGTGTGTGTGTGTGTGTGTGTATGCGCTGGTCTTACTCGGCAATGTCAGAATGAGAGTTCTCATCGCCATCGACTGTGAAAGGAGAGCCTCCGGTCAACAGCTCATACATCAGAACTCCCATGCTCCACCAGTCCACCGCCTACGGGAGCACAACACAAGGGTTATAGTCCCAAAAGCACATTCAAATGTATGCTGAATCATGTAAAAATTACATATATACCCTTTAAAAATATAAAATTACTAATACATGTGTAATTAAACAGCACTTAAAATATGGTGAATGGGCAGATGAGAGGTTCACTTTACCTTGTCATGTCCCGACTCTCCTCCTGCTACAATCTCAGGGGCCATGTATTCAATAGTGCCACAGATGGAATAAGCTCTCTCTACCTACAAGACCAAAGCACTTATTATATTGTTTGTAAAAACCTGTATCTCCCTTGCTTGCAAAGCTTTTAAGTTTCTTCTACAGTTTCAGCTTTCACAATTGTCTTAGTAGCATTCAGAATTTCTTTTCTTTCGGAATCTCTTTCTTTTCATAAATAATAATGTGAATGTGCGGTTTAGGGCTGGGTATTAGCAATTACCTCATGATACACTGCACATCAAATAAAAGTCACGATTCAATGCATCATGAATCCAAAGTTGTTTACTCAACCCAAAATTTCCATTAATCTACCATATGCCAGTTATCTTATACTACCAACAGTGGCAGCATCTACACAGAATGTTAACTAACAATGGACCAATCAGCTTTGAGTTCAAGGCAAATCTTACACCGTAAAAAAAAAGTGAATTTCTTTGTTTACTAACATTGGTATATATATATATATATATATATATATATATATATATATATATAAAATGAGGTTACATTTGGTCAGACAAAAATCATGATTCAAACTCGTAAGCCAGAGACCAGAAACATAATGAGCTGGCTTTTCACTAATGGTCAAAAAAATATTTAAATATATTCACTACTGTTCAAAGGTTTGGGGTTGGTAAGATTTTTGGTAACACTTTACAATAAGGTTCAATTAGTTAATGTTAGGTAATGTATTAACTAACATGAATGAACAATACATTTATTACAGTATTTATTAATCTTTGTTAATGTTAGTTAATGAAAATACAGCTGTTCATTGTTAGTTAATGTTAATTCGCAGTGCATTAACTAATGTTAACAAGCACAACTTTTGATTTTAATAATGCATTAGTAAATGTTAAAATTAACATGAACTAAGATTATTGAATGCTGTAGAAGTATTGTTCATTCTTAGTTCATGTTAACTAAAGTAGTTAAATAATGTTAACTAATTAATCTTACTGTAGTGTTACTAGATTTTTTCAAAATGTTTTTGAAAAGAAGTCTTATGCTCGACAAATCTGCATTTATTTAGAGTAAAAACATTAATATTGTGAAATATTATTACAATTTAAACCAGTTTTCTGTTTTCATATATTTTTAAATATACTATAACACATTTCCTGTGATGGCAAAGCTGAATTTTCAGCATCATTCAGTGCCATACGACCCTTCAGAAATCATTCTAATATGCTGATTTGCTGCTTAATTGTCTTTAACCGTCACTTTTGATACATTTCATGCATCCTTGCTAAATAAAAGTATTAACTTCTGTCAAAAATAATCTTACTGACCCCCTTTTCACTGCAGCATAGTGTTTTAAAAGTTACAAATAAATTGAAATGTAAACCTATACATCGAAACACGATTCTTCATTCTACAATGATTAATTACTGCACTTAGCTGCCTCTGTGGCTAAGACTAAACACCATCTGTACTTTCTAAATTGGGCAAAACTGCTTTCTGAATTATGCGGCATATTTATGGAATGAAATACATGCAAACATCTGGAACAATCTTCTTTAATATCCTACGAGCATTTAACGTTCTTACCACATGTTTGAACACTGATGCACGCACATGGCTTTTATAATAAAAGTTCCTGTGTACATTTATTAATTGCTTTTCTTTTTATGCATCTCATAATCAGCACATTTCTGTCGGATGAATTTACTCGTTTTATGTGCGCTGGTTTATATGTTCGCTATAAAGTCTTAATAGTCGCAGGCGTGTTTTCAAACCACACTTGTAAAAGAAATTCTGGCCGAAATGGGTTGTTACAAGCTAGTACAACAAAGGTCAAACCGGGAAAAACAAAAAGTTAATATAATCTTTTAGAACAAAGAACACCATCAAAACATGCATGATAAGCGATTACAGCATTGAGTAAACAGCCCTGCACTGTAATTGCATCCATGGGACGGAGGAGGTTCAATGTGAACTACCGAGACATCAAACAGAACATCTCTGACAGGGCAGGACATGCCAGGACCTGCACGTGTGGGATATTGGGTGGTCCCCAGGAATAAACAATCATTTGTTATAGCCAAGAAAAAGATGAACTTCTCATGGACAAATGTCAAAACCCTAGACAACTAAGCAACAAGAAGGTCTCTCAATACAGATCTTTCAATAGTTGTCTCATTCACACACACACACACACACACACACACACACACACACTTATTTATTTATTTAGAAAAGTGGATCTACTATATAAAAGTAAAAAAGTGTCTGGTCATTTTTAATAAGGTACATTTTAATGTTTTATTAAAAAAAAAAAAAAAAAATTCTAGCATACATACAAGCCATGAAAGTTTGAGGACACTAGCATTGAGTTCCAAATATCATGACAACAACAGCTGTGAAATATTAAACACTTGTTGGCCAGTCTAATCAAATAAATCAAATTCCTCCCTGTAGTTCTTAAACTGGCATGTCACCCTAACACAATGTTCCCTCTAAATCTTTATAATTTATCTTTACAATCATCTTTACAAAGAAACTAAAATATTAATAACCATCTAGCAGTTTATCCAATTCAAAAGTTTTAATTATTTGTCTATTTCAGGGTGTTTTGGGGGTTTGAGAGTGTTTTTACAGTAGCTAAAAAGAAACATTAATTAAATATTAATATATTTATAGATATATTTAAATACACTCTACTGTTAAAACATTTGGGTCAGTGAGATTTTATTCAGCCAGGAAGCATTTAATTGATCCAAAAAAAATGACAGTAAAGACAATTATAATGTTACAAAAGATTTCCATTTCAAATAAATGCTACTCAACTTTCCATTCAAAGAATCCTAAAAAAATATTTCCCGAAAAAAAAAAAGCAAAACATTTGACAATAATAATAAGAAATGTTTGAGCATCAAATAATTTCTGAAGGATCATGTGACACTGAAGACTTGAGTATCTTGAGATCAAATTTAATTAATTATACATTTAAATGTACTTATATTACATAACAGAAAAACAGCTAATAATATTTCACAAAATTACAGATTTTACTGTATTTTAGTTCAAATAAATGCACCCTTGGTGAGAGACTTCACCTTTTGTTGTGTGCTCGTCATTTTACCAAGGACTGCTTCTCTAAGCTTGGCTTTTATGTTCGTTGGCTTCTAATCTTCTTAATTTGGACTTAATCCGAACCACAACCTGTAAGTACGATTCATACGTTATGTGTACATTTTCAATTGCGTGCTCAAAATATCAAGTTTTTGTGCTAATATGTGATGTACACCTAGTGCAGCTTTAGGTTTCCAGGTAAAGCACGATATTACTGTCTTACTGAAGTAGTTCTGATAATTCGCTGTGAACCCACTATTTCCTAAGAATGTGTCGATTAATGTAGACTGACGTTGTTTTAATAATTACTTTGTTTAATATTAAAGAATGTAGTCTAGCGTTAGTCACGTTAGCACTCGGCTAACGTATCCACCATTATTGTTTTTATTAAGTGTTTACAGTTTAGCAGCTAAACTTTAGCTAAACTTTAATATAATTATTTTAAGAATGTATTGGAGCACTATATTATTGTTTAGAATAAAAATGTACTGACCCCAAACTTTTTGAACGGTAGTGTGTATTGTTAGAAAATATTTCTATTTTAAATAAATGCTCTTCTTTTTAACTTTTTATTCATCAAAGAATCCTGAAGAAAAGTATCACAGGTTCCAAAAAAAATATTAAGCAGCACAACTGCTTCCAGCACTGATAATAAATCAGCATATTAGAATGATTTCTGAAGATCATGTGACACTGAAGACTGGAGTAATGATGCTGAAAATTCAGCTTTGCATCACAGGAATAAATTAGATTTTAAAGTATATTCAAATAGAAACCATTATTTTATATTGTAATAACATTTTTCAATATTACTGTTTTTTTTTCTGTATTTATCAAATAAATGCATCCTTGATGAGCAGAAGAGACTTCTTTAAAAAACATTGCAAGTCTTATCTATAACTGATCCCAAACTTTTGAGCGGTAGTGTACATGAAAAAGAATCAATATGCAGTTAATATGAACTACTATGAACTAGGAAGACTGTGCTAGGATGCAGCCCTTATCTCATGAATTAATCAGCACTGTTTATGTCAACACATTATGCTCTCCCATTTTCACTTCCTCCACACTGTAAATCAGTGGATATGCGGACAGACTCCAGCTGAAACACTGAAAACTCAACTTTTCCACACAAGTTTTTGAGCCTGCATTCTGTGCAATAACAACATCAAAAGTGAAGTTTAGAGGGAACAATGGGAAACACTTTAGGGATGTACAACATATTGGTACCATATAGGTTATCGGCTGATGTTTTTCTTTTTTTTAAATGACTGGTATAGGTCATTATTTGATATATACCAGCAGATACTGGATATTTAATTGCGCAGGCTCGTTTTGGTTTCCTTTGCTATTATCCAACGCTTAAAATGTAAAAATACTAGTAATTTATTAACACTATTACATGTAATTTTTAACAAATGTTAAAATGGTTATCAATTTTTGATATTTTAGAAAAAACAAGCACAGTAATTTTAATCATTAATGTTTTAATCAAATATGGATAACTGGAAGGAATCCAAAGTGCACAAAGGGTTTCTCAAAGGAGAAAACTATGTAGAGTAACACAAACTCACCTCATGAAATTCCTTACTAAGACCAAAATCCGTCAACACGATGTGACCGCTTGAATCAAGAAGTATATTCTCAAGTTTTAGGTCTCTGTAGACGATTCCCAGCTGAAAAACAAACAGGAATAAATAAGATCTTATATTTGGATGTGGGACCAAATACTTCAATTTCACGTCATCTTTCAACAACATTTTATTAATCCTTGCCAAAATTATTTGCTCAAATGTTGTGTTCACAACCTTAACTTGTCTGGAGTCATAAAAAGCAGCCATTCACCTGAAAAATGCACCACTACTTTAATAAATAATAAAAGGCAACATAATAGGCAATGACACAAAATGAGACTGAACCAAAACAATGTTAATCTCACTGTCAAGGTCCTACCTACTCACACTGCAATGCCTCCAGGGCAGTTCTCTTCTCTCTGCTATGCACAGAACAAGCATGCATTAAAAACACTTTTCTTCCTCTTTCTGTTAACACAGCCTTCGGGAAATTTTGAGCACTGCAGATACATTTGGCCTGGCCTGGTTAGCTGAGTGAGGAATTGATCTGAGTGGGCAGGAGAGAGGAGAAGTACCTCCTGAGTAAAGGACGGAACTACTTTCACTATTCTCTCGAAATGAGGCGCCGTTCATTCAGATTGCAAAGGAAATGAAGAGTGAAAATAAGTGCGGCAGCAATTTTACCTTATGCAAGTGCTCCAGTGCAGGAATTGATCTGAGTGGGCAGGAGAGAGGAGAAGTACCTCCTGAGTAAAGGACGGAACTACTTTCACTATTCTCTCGAAATGAGGCGCCGTTCAGTCAGATTGCAAAGGAAATGAAGAGTGAAAATAAGTGCGGCAGCAATTTTACCTTATGCAAGTGCTCCAGTGCTAGTACAATCTCCCCGCTGTACAAGGTAACCTCTTGCTCTTTAAAGCGAACTCTTTGAACCAAATGCGTGAAGAGCTCACCTCCGTTCACATAGTCTGAAATTTAAGGTATATAAAACAAAATTGCAACTGGTCAAAGACAGATTTATATTTCTGATGCACATGGTATTGTGCAGTTACTGCAAAATCCTGCTTTAATGTTGACACTGACACAATCGGTTCCAAGCGTTACCACAAAAACCAAGAGTTCCTGTAGTGGTACAGGGGCTTCCGCTTTTCATTAGTAAAGCACATTAACTGCAGAGTTCACTGGTCTCTACACACTCGAGAGGGGATGTGTAGAAGTTCACTTTATTAGGAATGCCCTTCGGCTTCATCAAACAACACTTGAGTCCAGGGCCGGTGTGGGACTCATTTTCAGCCCTGGAGTTTCATGCCTTAGACCGGCCCACTTTTTTCTTTAATCTATTATTCGCTCGCATATCACCTACAACTGAGGTTTTTGTTTTTGTTTTTTTGAGCAAGGTGCCACTGTCAGGGGAGTCAAAAGAGAATTACATCATCATTAATAAAATAAGGGCTAATTGCGATTCTTTATCTTTTATTCTTTAAGAAAATAGTGTTTATTCTTGTAGAAAATAAGTGTTTATTCTTTAAGAAAATAAGGGACAGAATAAGGGACGATCCAAATATTTGTACTGTACAATAATGTAGGCCTATATCTGCCTGCAGTTAAAAAGTTCTCAGAAATAATCACATTTGTTTTGCTTAACCCATTTATGTACAATTATTCTAAAAAAAAAAAAAAAAACATTGTATGTCATACAAAAAATTAAGTACATTTTACCATTATAGAATTGTGACTTTACAAGGGTAGTAATTTAGGAGGTGAAAATACTGTGAAATTACAAATGGCATGGAATTTGAAAGCATAACAACTGAAGGTCTATGAAACGTCAGTCAATAAAGCATTTCTTTAAACAATGGCACTTAAAGTTTTGAACTAAAATATTGTTTCAACCATATAGCCTGTGAATGAATAAAAATGCATACTTTTCAGTGAAAGTGTAGGTTGCTTCTGGTGCTTGGATTTGTACTTCAATATAACGAGGTCCAAGTTTAAGAATAGCCTACACTAGTTTTTTTTTTAAGTTTTTTTTCAATGTATTTTTTTCTCTCTCTATTTAACAGCATTAACTTACAATGAAATACGTCTTCGTTCAGGTAGACTGAATGTTTTCCTGCCTTGCTAAATGTTGGGCTCATGATCAAGAAGTTGCATTCGCCCAAACTGATTTTGTAAAATCAAAACACGGACAGTGATCCTGGGTGCAGCTCGCTGTGAAGCGGGAGCAGCCGGCAGAGGATTCCCGCTTGTTCTTAAAGCCTTCCTCAAACGCCTACGTTCACAAAAAATAATAATATGGACTGCGAGAAAATAATAAATAAAAGAGTAGGGCTGCTGTGAGTGCAGGCAGCATATTTCAACCCAGTAGCATGACAACACACTGGCCCTCGCGGCCAAAAAACAGACCAGCCCACCTGGAATCCTCCCGGTGCTCCCGATTAGCCAATCCGTGAAAAAAATTATATGGGCTGCGACAAAAAAATAAATAAAAAGAGTAGGGCTGCTGTGAGTGCAGGCAGCATATTTCAACCCAGTAGCATGACAACACACCGGCCCTCGCGGCCAAAAAACAGACCAGCCCACCTGGAATCCTCCCGGTGGTCCCGATTAGCCAATCCGGGCCTGCTTGAGTCACATAAAGAAGGGGCTTCAAGCGTGATGGTGATGTACAAACAAAAAATATCAATTATTAAAATATAAACTCATTTAAATTAAAGTAATAAATTACACACTGCCGTTAAAAGGTTTGGGGTCAGTATGATGACAGAAATTCATTCTTTTATTCAGCAAAGATACATTAAATTTATCAAAAATGACAGTAAAGATTTTGGCATTGTTAAAAAAGTAATATTTCAAATAAATGCTGTTCTTATGAACTTTGTGTATCCATCAAAGAATGCTAAAAATGTATCATGGTTTCCACAAAAATATTAAGCTGCCTGATAATAATAAGAAATGTTTCTTGATCATCAGATCAGCATGTCAGTATGATTTCTGATGCTTCTCACTTGACACTGAGAACTGGAGTAATGGATGCATTGCAGAAAATTCAGCTTTGCTATCAAAGGAATAAACAACATTTTAAAATACATTAAAATAAAACAGTTATTTTAAATTGTAATGCTATTTCACAATATTACTGTTTTTAACTAACTATATAAGTAAGTAAATAAACTATTGTTTTATAATTATTTATAGCTTGTTTATCTTCTTGTTATGTAAGAGATGGACATAATAATGGCATTCTAACAGTCACATCTGCTGCACTTTATACTCTCGTACTGTTAAGGTTAATTAAGCTGAATAAAATGCCTGAGGCTGTGCACAATGACTGATGGGTAAATTTCCCTGCCCACTTCCTGTGAAGTGAGATATCAATGTATACTTGCTCATTAAGCTATTTGCAGTCAGACTGACTAAACGCTCACTACGACTGAATCACACAAAAACAGAATCAGAGCAAAACCTTATAAAGTCCGCTTGGTAGAGCACTATTAGCTCACAATAACAAAACTGTTGAGCAATGCAGAAGAAAAGTTCTGCCTGCATTGCTTGCACTCTTTTAAAGGGGTCATATGATGCTGCTAAAAAGAACATTATTTTGTGTATTTAACTTTTATAAAGAATATCTCTTTGGATTTGAGACTTTAGTCTTTGCAACTTTACAGATCTCGTTTATGCACCAAGAACTTGTAACACTCCAAAGAGAAAGGAAAAATTGAAATCGCATCATATGACCCCTTTAAATGCAGAAGTAAAATTGAAGCATAAAGTGCAGTTAACATTTTTGCAATCCAAAAGAAAGAGAGGAGAGAGCATACCTAGAATGAGATGCAGTTTGGTGTCTGTCTGGAAGGCATAATGGAGTGTAACCAGGAAAGGAGACTGTCTGATATGCTCGAGGACCTGTCTCTCCGTGCGTGTGTGCTCTGCCGTCTTCGCCTTCTGCACAATAGTGGCCTTTTTCAGCACCTTCATGGCATAGAGTTTACCTGAATCATGGCCGCTCACCTTGCGAACCAAGAACACCTTGCCGTAGGCTGCCCGGAGGAGAAGAACGATGTGTTAGTGGAGTAGGAACAAAGATAAGCAGAGAACGCAGGGTTCACATACTTGAACTATCACTGACCTCCTGTTCCCAGCACTTTCAGCAGCTCAAAGTTCTCAATGCCCACTCGCTCCACGTGACCCGTCAGATTGGCTGGGGAAAGATTTAAACACATCCATCTGGTCACACGGCCCAAAAAAAAACATATTCTTCACTTGGATACCATACAAGAAAACCTCCCGTAAACCTTCTCAACTTTGGTTACTTGAACCTTTGCCACTTTCTCACAACTGTGAGAACAGAAAAAGTGTTCAAAATGGCGAACCCTTGGAGACGAGCCCGCAGCTGTTTGTAAATACAGTATGTAGCTTATAAACAGGTCCAGATGGAAACTTTTTTATGCATTTTCTGCACTGACTTTAAATATTTAAACAGGCTGAAACAAAAGCGGCAACCGAAGCATTATGAAATCAGGAAATACCGTTCAAATGTTTGGGGTCAGTGATTTTTTTTTTAATAAGTTAATATTTAGCAAGGATCCATTAAACTGATCAAAAGTGACAGTAGTGACTTTTATCATGTTACAGAGCACCAAATCAGCATATTAGAATGATTTCTGAAGGATCATGTGATGCTGAAGACTGGAGAAATGGCTGATGAAAATTCAGCTTTGCTATCACAGGAATAAAAAACATTTTGAAATTTAAAAGTGCAATAATATTTCACAATATTACTGTATTTCTGATTACATAAATGCAACCTTGGTGAGCTTAAGAGACTTTTGAACGGTAATGTAATCAAACTTCAGAAATCTGAGTTCTGCAGGTGCAGATTCTGTGTGGGCCTACTCATAAATAACGAAGAGCCTGATGATTCAGAGGAAACAAAACAGCCTTCATGAATGAGACATTGAAGAACGCAAGCATGTGTGTGGTATATGTTTACACGGTAGCGTGCAGCCTGAAGTAAGGTCACTTGTTTTATGCAGTAGATACCAATGAGAATGCCCAGTGAAGTGAATGCATTCCTGCTGTTACCCTCAATCACAGTAGCACTGCATCTCTAACAAAATCATGATCTTTCTCCATCTTTGCAAATTATCTGATTTTAGAAGGGAAAGAAAAACATATTCTATTACCAAATCCTCTCAAGCAGCATGTTTAAGGTGCAAGCACTCTAGAGAGGCCCATGGGAACCACAATGTTTATTAATAAGCTTCCAGACCGCAACGTTCTCCATTCGGGACCCGAAAGCATTAATGGAGAGAATCTCGTCCCCAATGGGCTTTCTTAGGTGAGACTTATCAGGTGACCCCTTCTAGTCTTTAGTCCTGCACTCTACGGTTACACACTTTGTTAATCATAACAAGCCAGAAACAATTAAGTGCCTGTAAACGGATCATCCGTATTGACCTGCATTAGTCATACAGCAATGCACTACAGAGTCTAATATCTGGATCTGGATTAGTAACTTAAATACTTGAGACTTGTGGTCGACTGATATGGGTTTCCTAATTGCTGAAACAAAGTGGACAATCGCAAGACATTTTAATGACTGCAAAACAGTATTTTGCACAATATTTCCTGAAAACCGAAAATTTGTGATCTATTCACAAATCTCTTATTCGGAAATGCTATTATTAATGCTATTAATAACCACACGGAATAACCACGACTGTTAATCTGCCGATCTGCACAGTTATGTGCAAACAATCTGAAAATACTGACTGCTCATTTGGCCTGGCTGATACATCAATAATTGAAACCCGTTTTATGATATGATACAGAAGTCTAAACAGACCTTTAAAGACATGAGATGATCTGTGTCAAGATGGCAAAATAAATACTGCGATTTCCACCAATAGAGTACAATGGAATGAGATTAGGCCTACATCCCATCATGCTGTAATAAAAGTCCAAATTGTGTTGTTGTTTTTTTCATGGGTGTTACAATTTTAAGAAATTACACATTTTCTGTAACAGTGTGGTAACAGCGTTGTGCTAAGAATGTGGAACAGAGATCTAAATATTTGATTTTTGTCATTAAAATTGGTTAAGAATTAAAAATGGTTTGTTCTACAACTAATTGAATATGAATTTAATAAGTTATATCAAAATACATTGAATTATTACATAGTTATTAAAATAAATATTACTTTTTGTTACAAAAATGTGGTATTTCAAAATACGGTTTAACAAATTAAAGAATATTTGGTTGATTGTTTTCTTACAATAACTTGGGTAACAGGGATGAATTGCATAGCTTGATGAATGCAGTCATACTATATTTTTTGTCAAATGTGAGAAAATGGAATGAGATTACATCCCATCATGCTCTAGCGAAAGACTAAATTTTAAGAAATGTTAAATTTTCTGTAACACTGCAGTAACGTTTTCTGATAGACTGTCAAAAATTATTACATTCATTTTTTTATTATTTTGTTTGTTTTATTAGACAGTCTGAAGACAACATGCCAAAATCCATTTTATAGTGGCCATACAGGCATTTGAAACTAGTTTATCGTGTTAGGTTAATTTTATGTTACGTAATATTTTATTAAACATATCTAATAGCTCTCACAACCAAAATGTGGCATTGGTGCCTCTAAAAATGTCACAAGACAACAAAGTACTGGACCATATTGATGGAATGTGCCTATTAAGCATTCACTAAGACAGGCAAATGAGGACACAAACCTGGTAACTTCATTTACTATACAAAGACAACATCAGGGCCCTAGAGATTAAATTAGCCAGTAATTGGGCTTCGTTGGACTCAAGGCCATGACTGAGCAACTACTGAAACCACCGACACAAATAAACGCAATTAATTCCATACAGTCAAATTTTTTTTCTTCAATGTCAATCGAATTTCTTTCAAATGTTTCAAACACAACATGCACTGAAACGCAAGTGCACTTAAGTGCAACTGCGGTTATGAATGTGAATTATGCAATTGCACATGCAGAAGATCCTCCAACCTCAAAGTACCCCAGGCTGGAGGACCATATGTGATACAGATATCTATATCTATATCTATCTATCTATCTATCTATATATATATATATATATATTAATATAGGCTACTAATAGCACTTACTCATGCTTTTACTCTAGCCAACCAGCTAACATTAACGCTGTCCCTTCCACGATATAACGAAAGCATTATTTATATATAAGCGTTGTTTCTTAAATAGAAGTGCGGGACAGACAGCCCGGCGTTCATTTACCGTTTCTGAGCTCGTGTTTGACGGTAAACAGGTCACCTTCCCCCGACGAGCCCTCCATCGTACTCGCGTGATCGGAGCACGCACTCTTTCCTCTGCTCGCTGCGCGACACTAATGCAAAATACTACAACAGAGGCAGTCACTGCAGGATTACATAAACGGAGCTGTTGCTATAAAGCAACCTCTTGGGAAATAATGTAAATGACAATAACTGCATTCTCGTGGGAAGGACAGTGGGGCTGTAAATACAGCTGCACTAACTGTGATACACACGCCGAGCCCCATTAGACACGCCCACTGGTGCTGCGAGGAGAAATACTTCTGCTCTATTGGACCAGCCGACTGTCACTCAACGCCCATCGCACAACGCACAGTTCAACGTTAACTATTTACTGCAACAATGTAAGAGATAAATTAAATATTATTATTGTTAAACAAAGAATATTTATAAAATATATTAATAAATAAATGTATAAAAATTGATTTTTTTTGTAGGAATTTATGCTAATGTATTTTTTCTTATTGTTCTTTCGAGAACTGCCCTTTTTGGAAGGGTGCTTAGATGTTCTCCAGAAGGTTCCACAAATGTGTACATTTCGGAGAATCGAGTATCTTTTTACAGAGTATTATTAATAAATAGTTTTTTTTCCCCAGCTCGAGAATCGTATCTGAATCTTAAACGGATATTTCACCCAAAAACATGTTTCTGTCATCATAGCCAAACAGTTGACGGTAACCACTGACTTCCATACTATCAACATTCTTCAAAATATTTTCCTCTGTGTTCAGCAAAAGAAAGAAACTCATATAAGTTTGGAATAAGTGGATGGTGAGAAAATGAATACAGAAATTTTCATATTTTAACTATCCCTTTAAGGAGCAAGACAGCTTAGCAGTGCAGTTAGCTAATTCTCTAGGAATATGCTGTAATGTAATGAGTGCACTTGACCTTCAGTCACTATTTCTGCTCTATTGTGTATTTGATAAGTGAGTTGAAAGCGTGCATTATGTGCATACCGTTCAGTAGTTGGTAAAGGATGACTGAGGCTCAGGCTGTACTGAGAGAAAGAGCAGGTTTATCATTTCTGAGGGGGGAAGGGAAGCCCGTGTCCTCATTTGGACAAGCAAAGACCTGTTACCTGCACTTCTATTATGTTCTATTATAATCACTTTACTTCCTTTCTAGTGCAATCCTAGGAAACACCCAGTAAACTCCCAGTATTTATTGTAAACTGCCCACACAGTTATAGATAGTTTACCATGTAAATATTCCCTAAACAAATTGATTTGGATGTTTACATATACGGACAAGAAGTTGTAGCCAAACAGGCTCATAAACACAGGTAAGGAAGGCACGCCTCCTGTGCATGCAGTGCAAACAAGCAGAGCTTATTAAGATTATTCTTTATGTTTGTCCGGTCTGCATGGGTCTGTCTGTAAAGGTTTCCAGTTTTCCATAGAGAGACTGTGGCAGTAATTGTCTCATTCTTTTTTGTTTACTACACAAGCGGCTCGTTTTATATAGTTTGCTCACAATATAGTGTCTTAATAACAATTCTAGACAAATATGTAGGGACCAATATAGGTAACAGCATTGTTCTTTTGTATTTATTGCAGCACATAAAACTGTTCAGTTTAGTGCTAAAACCCATTACCACTTTTGAGTCACGATAGAGTGAAATTGAACTCCAAGAGAAGTAACACTTTCAAATGTACTGTTTATAGGTTAACAGTTTTTGATTCATGCAAAAATAGCACATGGAGTAGCCCATGTCAGGTCAACATAAATTACAGTCATGGTGTTTTTTTGTTGTTTTTTTAAGTGTGGGTTGCTAACAACTTGCTAAATACAGTGTGTCAGATATTTTAAAACGAAACTTGAACATTTCTTTAGCCTCTTAATCTCAGAACTGGTTTTGAGGTTAAGTGGCTAAACTGGCTAAATCTAATTTCCCAGAGGAACCCATGGCAAGCTAGCCTTTTAGATTGAGGTAAATTGGCATCATGACTGAACAGCTCTATTGTTCTAAATACAATGATGAGTTCATGGCTCTTATTCAGAGTAAACACCACATAATTATTATTATTATTATTGCAAATGAAAATGAGGCTAGATGAGGATAGATATATGGGCTGGTCAACAGGTTGTTCCATAACACATCTAGTTGAACGAAATTATGAGTTACCAATTGAGAATTAAATATGGCCCTGTGTTTGTTCTGTAGGGCACATCATTCTTAAAAATCTTAAAAACACATACAACCTTTTAAACGAGTTACAGACTTTTTTTACAGAACAAATTAAAAGGTTAAATCTGCATCTTTAAAAGATATGTCTGAATGTGGCTATTGGTTAGAAAACGTGTAATTTGTATCACAAAACTAAATTAAATTCAAATAAAACAAATATTTAATATTTTTCCCAAGACATTGTTTTTAACAGTTTTACTCAATAATCAAATGGAAGGTACGACCCTCGACCGCAAGTGTCCTGTGAACTTTTATTTTGAAGTTCTGTCAATATCTGCAGTGTTGTTAAGGTTTGCGCGCGCTGCATCGCTCAGCCAATCCCGGCCCTGACAAGAGGCTCGTGACGTCACTCTCTTGCTCCTCGGAGCAGAATGGCTATCGCAAGCCGTTTTAGCATTTAAAAGTTTGTTTTGACTATCCATAAATATAATTTAAGATAGGAACAATTGTATTTTGACGAGTCATAATTATAATTCGTCTAGTCACAATGACAATTAGAGATATCTGCAATTATAATTGCACTAGTAAGAAATCGGATTAGAGATCTCTAAATACTTTGACTAGTCAAAACTCCATTGAAGATATCTGTAATGACGTCATAGATATCTTCAATAGGGCGTCACACATACGCAAAGGTAATTAGAGATATCTAATTCAGTTTCAACTAGTCACAATTATATTTTAAGATATCTGAATTGTACCTGCTCCTAGTCGAATGTGCTGTTGTGTGACGTGAGACTAAATGTACTCAGCTCCTCCCAGAGCCCCTCCCCGACTAGTGTTTAGTGCTAACTGCCTGTCACTGGAGAGAAAAGCTACTGGATGAAGTGCTTCAGGGATTATTAAATAATATCTGGATGCAGCCATATGTGGTAAAAGGTCTCCAGCGTGCATGTATGTATAGCGCTGTGATTTTAATTGAATCATGTTGCAAAACGGACCAAATGCAGTGTAATGTTCAATAAAGGCAGAAAACCGCAAACTGCTCGTCTGAATTTATTTATTATACATTTAGACATAATGAAGAACAATGGAATTATACAACAAAAACATGAAAAATAGTAGAAATAAATGCATGACGGACAAGAACAATGCTTCATAATCAGATGCAGTCAAAAAAGGTGAAGGCTGATTTTAAAAAGATTACAATTTAATAAAAGTTTAACTGGCATTGATGACATTTATTAGTGGGTTACATTACGTTGTGTATGGATTCAGGTTTACTTGTGTCATTATGGCAGCTTGTTTCCGCCACGGAATAAAAAATAAAAGTAATTTGCAG